CTGAGATTTTAAATGGTTTAGAAGAAATCCGCTATACTATAAAAAGCAAAAGATATGAACGGTTTAATAGTTAATTCCAGCACATTAACATGAACGAAAGATATTTTCACCAAAAATCACATGATTTAATAGCATTTCTAAAAAAACATCAATGGGGTGATGACCAAAGAATTAAGTTTATAAAACGCAATTCCCAATATGCATGGAAAGCATTGAATCCTTTTATGCAAAAAGAACATGTACTTAATGGTTGTAATTTATGTAAAAACGATGATAAAGCAGAAAATACTTTCCCGATTTCAGTGAACCATCGGCCAAAAAAGGCGCGTTCACCGCTAAGCGATATTACCAAGACTTTCACAACTAAATTTAAAGCGCAAAACAATTTCCATTCCAAAATTTCAAGCGCTGCTGTTCCTTTTCAAAAAAACTCGTTTTCTAACATGAAAGAAACGTGTGAATTGGTCTTGGAGAACATTAACTCGTCTTGGAATTCTTTTTATGACACACCATTTCTAAAGGTTTTGTCAAAGTGGCCCTCAAACAATTTGATAGAAAAGTTATCTTCTGCAGATAAAAAAAAAAAAAAAAAACTACGGAAATCCCACCGCAAGTTGAAAGCGACTGTTGAAAATCATTGGGAAAAAAATAGTAAAGACACTAATAGTTTGTTGGTGTCTTTACTATTTACTGGTGTTCGTCAATCGGAATCAGCTTTCATAAAAATTCGCACAAGCCTTCACTTTGAATCTAAACGAGATGCAGTTAAACGAACTGTCTCAAGTAAGTGCTGTGAAATGATATGATGAATTTATTTAGTAAATCTTAATGATTGTGTTGTTATCATAAGTGTGATCAGGGTCGGATTGGCACTGTCCAGACATAAATAGGGTCTTTATATTAGCAATAAATTTAGTAAAAAAAAATAAAAGCCTCAATCACAGTTTCAGTTTTTTTTTCTTAATCACAGAATAATAGTAGAGGGGCTGGTGAAATCCCCCTAAACCGACAAAACAAAGAACTTTGTAAAAACGACCCCCATTTTTACAAAGTTATCTATTTTGCACAAATTTTAGTATAAAAATTAAGCAAGATATGTATTTGCTATTTAAAACAGCCTTTTCTTTTTCAAAAACAACCCCACTTCTAAAAATGTTCACGGTACGGTCGTATAAGTACCTCTAAAAATTTTAACATTAGTATTTATAGGTAGTGGAGTCTCTGTACCAATACCACGATTAGTGCGGCTGTGGCGCAGTGGTTAGAGCGCTTGCTTTAGAAGCAGGAGATCCAGGTTCAAAACGAACTCTGGACATATTTTCGCGTCACGGTATGGAAGGAGGCGTGAACTTCCTGGTTAAATGCACATCCGCGGTGCTCTGTGACAAGACCGTTAGGTCTTATTGGGGCACCTAAATAAAAAAACAAAAACAAAAACAAAAAAAAATCATTGAAGAAGATCAAAAAGGATTTAAGTCAAAATATAACTTCTGAAAAATATATTTTAGGAACATTGATTGAACCTAAAAAATATTCAACAATTGCTGCTGACAAATTTGGACAACTAGAAACGTCTGTATCTTCTATTTCAGGCAGAAAAATTTCATTGCATAAAATACGCAAAAGAATTTTTGAAGATCATGTCTCGTAAAAAATTATTCGAGAAAATCCGACAGGTATATATTCAAGAATCTTGATAATTTGGTCAGATCATGCGTCCATTTTAAACTCGGGTCATTTATTACTCACTGTCAAATCAATTTACAACGAGAAGGTATACTATAATGACAGAGTAATGTTTTCACTAACTGGTAACTTTTATAACATTCAAGAGTTAGTGGAAACGCCTCATTTATACATATTTGGATGCATAAATGACACAATTCTAGGGAAACTATCTTATATAGAATCTAGACTAGAAGACATTAAAGATTTACTAATTCCCATAAAAATTGAAGGGAAAGAAGTTCATGACGTCTTACGATTTTTTCATGGTATATATTGTAATTCTTTACAACTATCTACCTATAAAATAAAAGAATTTTTAAGAGTTTTACAAAAAAATTTGACCCAATAT